TAGGAGACTCGGTCACATAGGTCCCGTTTGGCTCCCTTGATGGGGACCCCGAGATCATGGTCACCGGTGGTTACAGACGCTAAGTATAGCATCTGGGCTTGTACTTCTGCTCAGTATACACACGTTAGTATGATGGACAGCAAACGAGGAAACCTCGATAGTTTCGAGGATCTACTGCGCAGTCATCGAAACCGGTATGTGAAGACCCGGGACTTGGAGCGGCGAGCTCATAAGGCCAGAGTATCCTCGGCGTGGTATGGAATCGGATAACAGAAATATGCTCTCTACCGCCGAAGCTGAGTGGCGGGGTTCAAACACCGGAGTTTAATGTGCAAAGCACGCAGAAGACAGCCATTGAGATATTGCGGCACCAACACCACCGTGCAGTTTAGCACCATAATTGTACTAGAAGTTGTGAAATGCGTACTGAAATAGTAGGTAATTATTTAAACCACGACAAAATATCAATGTTTTGACTATATATATATATACCGCTATGCGGACAGGCATGGTACCAACGCCACAGCTACAATAACATTAACAACAGGGAATGGGTGGAGTGGCATACAGAACAGAGTGAAAGGAAGGTGAAACAGTTAAAACGGAAAATAGTACATGAATGGAATAACAGACGTTTTTATTTCACCGTACACTCAATATTTTTTCTTTTCTTCGTTTCTTCTACGGGGCATGATTTCGACAAGCAGAGCGTACAGCATTCGCGCCACTGACTTCTTTTTTGAGCCATATCTGTCTCTAACTAACGACAGCAGAGCTGTACGTTACCTTGCGGATAGGGGAACGGCCGTCATCTCGCCTAACCGTGAATAAGGTCTAGGCCCCGAATACGTGGACGATTGGCGGCAATGCTGGAGGATGTGATGAGTTTACCTCCTGGCAAGGGTTCTCTATACAAAACGTAAATATCTGTGGACAGCGCTGTAACGAAATTTGTGTGGTTTATAGCCAAATCTGGTCATTGCTGTTTGTCGAGATTCATTGTGCGACAAGGTTTTCTAGAAGAGGCAAACGGACCGAAAACTAGCCACCCGCTCATCTGGAAGATCATTGTTGCTTGGCAGTTCGCGTATGGTTGCGCAAAGGCTAAAGTGCACTCTCGAACAAGGCCTACTCTGGTCCGGGCGACCGAATAGTACAATAGCCCACAATGCACACAACTATGAAAGGGTCTTTTGACTAAAAGCCGGGTTTAGTTTCTTTTCCTTCATCAAACAAGATACTGGGTGTACTTGGGAACTAACTTCCATTCCCTTACAAACACTTATTGGCTCTGGTGAATCTGTACTTGAAAACGGTCACGAGATGGATCACATTGGAGTGAGACTCAAGTTATCCTCTAGCAATCACCATCGCACAGCGAAATACGACGAGACGAATCTCACTGTTTGTTGCCAAATTCGCAATCCGCTGAATCCCAACTTGAAGCCATAAACAAGGAAACTTGAATGTTATATATTCCACACGTATTTGAGTCTACACGGTGCCAAACTAATGACAGTACAATAGTCGAAAACCAGCAATCTGACCTTTGATAAGTTGTCGAAAATCTGTCTACGGCCTTCTTCAATGTGCGAAGATTCACCACTAGCGACTACATGGACTGCATAAATCCCGTGGTACTGAATGCTAAACAACGCCAACGGTTATTCTATTGAAGAAACGTCGAACTGAAGTAACGTAAAAACCGCAATGTCCCGTAATACTAGGTCTTTTTTGGAAGATGCGTCTCTATCCCTTTTGGTTAAATGCCACCCGTCGATGACGGTAAAACAAATTCGATAAATGCACCACTTTTATCAGTACAGCTTATAGAACCATCAACCATACACTGTGGTGCACGATACTGGATAGGGATTCTGATGGGTGAACTGGTATCCGAGATTATAGAGTTAATCCGTCTCCTGTTCTTCTCAGTGGAAAGTGGAAAAATTCATCGTCATCCGAAAAGCCGCAGCGTACTGTAATCCAGTCACTGGCCCCCTACGATCGACTAGCCGACAGATGAACGCCAGCCACCCACGATTGTTCACTTAAGTAACATCCTATCCACCTCCAGGAAGAGTGCTCAATAACATCACCCGCGTTGGAGAAAGTCCCGCAATAGCTCAATACGTTTGACGAAAATAGAAATACTTCCGGAAACGTACGAGACCCTAATGCAATACTGCCTAGAAACCGCATCAAGTAATATGGGTACATACTTTAAAGGAAAGAAACCATGTACAACGTAAAACGACTGATGATGCGGAAATCATACCACTCTACTGAGACGAGGTAGCACCAAAGAACGGAGAATAAACTCAAGAGGAGTAGGACAATTTCGCATTAAAACCTCTCCCACAAAACGCTTAAGCAAGAAACCGGCAATCGAGTAGGACCCGAAAGGTAAAGCAACAGTGTGACGGACAACGTGAACAATGACTGCAGTAGGCGAATTAATCATGTCTGTGCGGTTTCGGTTAGATCCCGAATTACACATGCCGAAGTGAAAGCCCTATATGGAAATTGTACATAAAATAAATCAATTAGAAAGACGATGGACCGAAATAACGGAGCACCTGTTAACAGATGTGGCTCGCAGCTGTACGAGTTGTGACTTGATTTACTACTGCGCTAGAGTCAAAATTGCTAGCCCGTTGCACTGCTATACCGAAGTAATGAGAGAAATTTCTCTCACTGTTGCAATGGAAAGCCCTAACATCGTTGTGCTATGAATATACGAAATATTTAGACTTGGTGGTAAGCGGCTCTGCTCCCGACTGGTTTAATACCACGCTAAACCTATCGCGGTCTTATGAAGTTCGCCATTCCAAGTCCCGGGTTTTCGGCTGTTGGTTCACACCACCATGGGGTTTGCCCCGTGTGCTGTTCAGCACACTCAAATATGCATTAAATTAATTAAAAATAAAAGGAATAACAACGATTCAAATCTACATGAATCAAACCAGTTAGGACACAACATGCCACAACTTCAAATGCTTACCGTTTGTTTGCCTTGGCCGCGTTCCCTGAAAGCTCATTCACTTCAGCAACCAGGTACTCAATAACAGCAGACATGTAAACAGACGCGGCGATGGACGTACGTCTTGCATACCTCCCTTTCTTAAGGTAGCGATGTACACGACTGACAGGCATGACAAGACCCGCGCGAGTCGATTTAGTGTGTTTTTTTCCTCCCGCAGGCTTCCTCGCTTTCCCGCGACCAGACATTATTACACAATTACAAGAGAACGTAAAAACTAGAACCGCAGTCAAACAAGGCGGTCCAACAGGGGGGAGGGAAAATTAAAACAAAACCAGTTCAGGTCAGGTCGGTTCACAGGACGTCACGGCGGCATGACAAATAGTCCATCTTCCTAAATTGATGGGCTTTTCTGATGCCCTGATGCTACGCTAACATGAAGAAAAAACTCTTCAATAAACGACCAAATTCATGGAAAATACGCTGCGTATCCAGACAATAGCGTGTACAGTTCAGTTCAGTATGCGCAGGACGAAAGTGGTCGAGGCCAATCGTGCGTCCAGATCGTTGTGTTGTCAGCTAGTTTCCTTGGCTTCCATCACTTTGCGTCATACGTTCGTTCTGCTTTTTTTCTGAAAGGCAGAATTTTTAGGTGCAGTATCTCATCCATCAGATCTGTAGAACTGAAGTACATCAATATAGGAACGAACACACCTTGTTCCTTTATCACCCCTCAATTGGCCAGCTCCGGGAGAACTACTTCCCAGCACAGGTCCAAGGCCTTTTTAAAGGCCACAACTGTTGAGCACCTTATGACAATCTCCCGCAATCTATTCCACAAAGGCAACACCCGGTTTCGGAAGAACTTGGCCCTAAACTCCAACCTGGAGTGCTCCCTTTGCAGCTTAAGGCTATGACCTCTAGTGCCGCACTTTGGCGCAGGAAAGAAGAGGCTGCTTAGTTCTATGCCCGACAACCCCTTAACTAACTTGAAGGCTTCTATCAAGTCGCCTGTGATCCTTCAGCGTGACAGCGAGAAAAAATTCAGGTCCTGTAGACGCTGCGAGTAGCTCTTTCCTATTTGTCCAGTGACCATTCTGGTTGCCAGTCGTTCTACCATCTCTAAACACTCCATATCTTTGCGATACTATGGGGTCCAGGCTTGCACGCAGTATTCCAGCAGTGGACGCACCATTGCCTTATACAGAGGGACGAACACTTCTGGCTTCCTTAATGTAACTGTGGTCCGCAGCCTGAACAGTACTCCTCTTGCTTTATTTGCAGCCACCTAACATTGCCTTGTAGGCCGGAAATCCTTTGTGACAATTATTCCTAGGTCCTTGACCTCCGTCGTGCCACGTAGCGCTGCGTCCGCGGTTGAGTCTACATTATTAGTCAGTAGCTGACACTTGGCAAGATTCAGGGTAAATCCCATCGGGCTGACCAGCTGCGAACTGTATCTAGGTCTTGGGTTAAGTTCTCACCCGCTATCTTCACATCGTTCGCAAAGATGAAGCAGGGTTGTGCAATTCTAGCGTGCGATCGTTGATGAAAAGAAGGAAAAGAAGGGGCCCAAGAACGGAGCCTTGGGGCACCCCGCTTGTTACCCTCTCTGATCGCGAAGTGTAGCTGCCAACCCGTACAGCGAAGCTACGGTAGTTGAGTAACTGCTCCAACCACTGACGCGCTGACCCGACTATTCCAATCGTTGGTAGTTTTCCGCCCAGCAACGTAAGACTCGCCGAGTCAAATGCCTTGCTGAAGTCTAGATAACATACCTCACCTGCTCTACCGTGATCTACTCGACGTGTAGTCTCGTCGAGAAGCATAATCAGATTAGTTATGCACGACTTATTTCTGGTAAACCAGTGCTGTGCAGATAGAAATACATGAGACAAAAGTTGCGCACATATTTGTCTTCTGACTAGTCGTTCGAGGCACTTGCGCAGCACTGACGTTAAACTGATCGGCCTGTAGTTTTCCGCCTTCTTCCTAGACTCCTCTTGTATACTGCTACAACGGTTCCTTTCCGCCAGTCCTCTGACGCTACCCCGGAGGTCAGTGGTGCCTTAAACAAATCGCTGACAAGTCCTAGTATGACCTCAGCTAGTGACTGGACAATAGCTGAGTGGATCTGTAGTAATTCGAATAGTATTGAATCTAGGAATACGAGAATCCGTACTGTACTGCTCAGAACTGAATTGGC